AATAAGCCCATTTTGATTTCTTATCATATAGTTGGTATCGATGTCGCGACCCATCTTGGACCATCTTACGGATGCCGTCGCTTCTTGTTCTTTTCCTTTCTTTATAACCTTAGTATATGTCTTATCAAAAGGATGGTTTGCGAATGCCAACTCACCAGCTCACGTGACGTCCATTAATCTGAGTTGGTGCAATTGGAAATCGACACATGTCTCGGACAGGAAAAAATTAAAAATACGGGTTTTCTCTCTCTTCGTCTCCATCACGGCCACCGTCTCTCCGGCCACCGCCCAACTCGACCAATAACCATCCCCTTTTGCGCAACGCAGACACGACAGATCTAGAGCCATGGTCACGTCTAGATATGGAACCGTAAAGCTATGGCCGCAACAGACTCGGAGGGTTGTGTCTAGATCTGGAACCGCGGAGCCATGGCCGCTAAAGACCTTTGAGCCATGACCATGTCCAGATCTGGAGCCTTGGCCGCAACAAATTTGGAGCGTGACCGTGTCCGAGTCAGATCTGGAGACATCGGCCATAAACGAGCTAGGACAACATACGACGGAGAACTTCCAGATCTAGTGAAACCCTTGACGGAGGCAAGCACTAAGACTACAAACTTCTAGATTTGGAGCTTGTCCATATGGCCATGAGCCTTGAAGGCAAGGTCCATGGCGACTCCGCCGGTAGCAACAGCAGAGGGAGGCGCCGATTACTCCGCCAGTGTGGGCTCATGGTGGCTGCAATGGGGAGGAGGAAGAGAGAGATGTGTAGAGATTTCTTTTTTTTTTTAATATCTAATTTCACGTCAATATATACATATACGTGTCAATTTCTAATTGGCTCAGAGTGAATAGATGCACGCCATGTCAGCTGGTGACATGGCGTTCGCAAACCACCATATATCTTCTCCATCAAAAGTGGCAGGCTCATGAATCTCAAATTTAGATATAGCCCAAATTACTAAAGAGGTAATGCAATGATTGTGATTGGATGGAGGAGTTGTGAGACCTATACGTAGGAAACTGTATCTTGAATGGGTCGATAATTAGCCTTTTCCTAAAGGCTTTAAGATCCCTGATTTCGTCATTTTTAGTGGCGAAAATGACCAATCTACAATTGAACATGTTGGTCGATTTGTGGACCAATGTGGTAGCAGGTATTAATGAGTTTTTAAGGCATAAAATGTTTCTTTTGTCTTATCAAAAACTGCATTTACCTGCTTTCTAATTTACCACCAAACTTGGTGTATGACTAAGCAGAGATGGAAAGACAATTATTCCATTCTCAGTTTTATTAAACAATACCTGAGGTACCGATCGCTAACTTGGCTAGGCTCTATTAATATACTAATGAGTCAGTCGATCAGTTTATTACTCAATTTAATAAGCCTAATCTCACTCTCAAAAAACAGAATTTACAAATTTGGCCTGGGTTGAAATTCAACATTTTGAAAGATTTCAAGGCCAGGACTTTGCCAATTTGTTTTAATTAGCGACAAGAGTGTCCAAATACGAGAAGCTACTTAAAAAGAAAGCGATGAGAAGCCACATAGGGCTTTTAAACAAAATGTGGCCTCGATGGATAACTATCAGTCGGAAAATGACTACGACTACGATGAAAATAAGGAAGCGGTCGTAGTTAAAACGGTGCTCGTTAAGCTTTATGTTCGTCCAACATTGAGGCATAACAGGCCCAAATAAAAAAAACCAATGATAGCTAGGGCTAAACACACAAGTATACTTATTTGACATCAATAAATAGGATGAAATCTTCGACTTGCTTTTGAAAGATGGCTTTATAAAATTAAATGAAGTCCAAATTATCTCAAACAAATATAATTTAGTAAACAAAAGATATTGCAAATGGCACAATTCAGGGAGCCACAACACAGTCAATTTTATTGTTTTCAAGAAGACAATTTCAAAAGCTAGTCGACAAGGAAAAATCAAGTTTATCGATGACAAGGGAAAAGGGAAAATGGAAGTCGACACTGATTCATTCCCGCAAACAGTCAATATGTGTTGGCTAAGTTCAACGGGAAATAGCCTCAGAGAAATCTGTGTCGACGATGCAGGCAGGATATCGATGCAGAGAACTATGATTCGGCTAAAGGTAAAATGAAAGTGCTACCAGCCAGGCTGAGATAGAAAGGTTACCTGTGAACCTATTCCTACCAATGAAAGTCATCTACCGAGTGTGTTCGATCGAGTTGCCTTCCCAAATAAGAGATCTATGCAAAAGAAATCCTTGAAGCAACGATATGAAGAAGGTGACCCTGGTGTAGCAGCACTTGATCAGCATAGTGGAAAGTTATGGCAAGTTTGCCTACCCTGTGAAATAATTAAAGCCTCCCAAATTTGATATCCATGTGAAGAACATTGTACCGACAGGGTGGGGTGACTGTGACCAGAATTTCTCACCAGCCAAAGCTTCAGCCCTTCACGTCGGAGGATCCATTAGGTACCTTCCAATTTACCAGAACGACAATGGATTTACGTGGGCGATACACCAGGAAACATGCTCACTCAAACCCCAGTATGATTATGAGGGACGAGCCGCTATTGGCCCGAAAAAGAAATACATATGCATACTTTCTTACTTCTTTCAAATTTCAGTGTTTAAAAATTTGACTCTGCTCGGCTGCAATATTTGTTTGTCTGTACTCGCCTTTTAGCTGAAATTTTCTTCCTTCTCTCCTTTATTTTGCATGATATCTGATTCATGATTCTCGTGCAGCAATTTTAGATTTCCTGTCGCATACTGCGATGCTGGACAGCATGGTCTGAAGATTATGTTTCTAGTACGCGAAGTAATTTCGAGGATATACTGCACGACCAATCTGTGAAACATGGCACCAAGATGTACATAATAGAGATGAAGCCTCTGTTTTCAGCTCGAGTTTAGGGCGTTGCCTTGACTTCGTTAAGGTCTTTTCTACAGTCTTATTTGCCTCTTTTGCAGTCCAGTATCCAGGAGGAAGAGGATGATAACTTCCTGCAGGATCCATCGAAAAGCACATTAAAATTCGGTCGTTCCCTTCAAGAATTCTGTCAAACAGATCATTCGGGAGGTGAGTGCGTATGTCTCCTAATTCTTGAAGGCAGTTAAGAACACTGTGATAGCTTTCCATCCGATTGCTAAGTATGATTCTCTTTTACTGGCTGAAAAGTGCACATCTCATGTAAACAACTAGAGGGGGGAAAGGGGGTTAAATGTGTAAAGAAACGTAACTGAAGATTCCATCTATTTGAGAACCAATATTAAATTCTAATCATGTAGGTGTAATAGAATTATGGAAATGGCATTTTACTTGACTTTTTTACCACTTCTACATTATGATTTTGTCCATTCTAATATGGTTGGCAATTTATAACAGACATGAAAAGCCTTCTGGAATTTTTAGGTAGTAGTTTGAGTTTGAAAATCACTTAGGTCTGCTTAATGGTAGAAAGTCTTTCAGCCATTGGACAGTTCTGTGCTATTAGTATTCTTCATCATACTTTTAGATATGGATTGTGGAATACACCTTCCAGGCTTTCCGGCGTCATGTTTATGGTCTCTTTCGTTTGATTACAGAGCTATGACAATGATAGTATTGTTAAAGTTCAATGTCTTGTGGGACTTAGCGGCAAGGTATGGTTCATTCATTGTCGATTCTCTCTTGAAGAAAAAAGTTTGAGAGAAAGAAAAAAGAAAGACCGTAAGTTTTTCTATCCAGTAAACTAATCAATTTTGACGTCCGTCTCCAGAGCACAGTCGTAACTACCAGACGGGTTTTGGAAAGTCTTGCTTGCTGTCCGTGCGTTTCACAAAGAATGGCATGGAAACTTCTTAAAGGTACTTTTCTCATACAAATCAGCATATGCGTGAATTGATCCACCGTCACCCAACCAATTTTTTCTAGACTATGTTCAAATGTTCCCAAATCCACCACACGCAAGGCACAAAGAGGGATGTCAACTCTAGTTCATATATGGAGTGTTAGCACGACAACATTTAGAGGTCAATTGCTTTATATCCACAACTTTCTTCACTGCTGCATGACTTGCTTGACCATCTATCCTATCATTTCTGCCAATCATGTACCTTAACAGGGCAGTTGCTAGGAACTGCGGCAACATGGCTCGTTCAAGTAGGAATTGAAACTTACCAAAGCTTGTCCGGTATATTCAAGTCCAAGGAAGAGGATGACGAAGTCGATACAGTAGAAGAGGTTATAATTCTCGGGAGGAAGGTCTATCTAGCTACTGCAAGATGTAGACTGTAGTGCTTCCTTGATTTTTGCTTCGATCGGAGCAGGGATTGGTGCCACTGTTATGCGCTTTTCACTCGGGCAGGGGATTGGTAAGCAAGCAATCTTTTGATTGTGTACTCTCTCTCTCTCTCTCCCCAAGTTGATCATCTGTTAACTGTCCAAAAGGGGATGCATACATCTGCATGGCGATATCCAAATTCTAATGTGGTCCAAATTGGTTTGTAGGCTGCATTCTCGGGCACCGAGCTGGCCCAGTCATTGAGTCATTTTGCTTTGAGAAATTTCTCCAATTGGGAGGCTATAAAGTATTGGCTTCCAATTTTCTTGCATGGAACTACCCTCGCTCAGTTGATAATGCCACTTGCTTGACCATCATGGTAAGTTGCCGTTGAGGCCAGATGCTGCTGTTCTGGTCATTTATCAAATTTGTACCTACCAGTGCGGTCCGTTCATTTAGACGTGAATTCAATCACATTTTTCCCCGGGATCGCAACCTTAAGTCCTGTACGACATAATATGAACCATACTGTATTGGGATAATTCTGCAACAACTCATTCAAATCTTGTGGAATTGTACTCCAATTTGCTGTATAACCAGATTTTTACCCCTGGAAGAATCATCTCGGGGCATTACTTTTGACTTTTGTGAGTGTAAAAGATACAGAACAAAATGTGCATTGCAATGTACTTTGGGAATTTCTGACTATCAAGTGGTCAAGTATGCTCGTAATCAAAACCTCATCAGCACACTGACAAACCTCAGCAGCTTATATTTCACCAATTCAGCAGTTATATCCAACATTTCTCTCCTGTCTACACTACACAAGTATCTGGAGCCCGAACCGTGGTATTTGCTTTTGTTTTTTCCCCCTAATAAGAACACAGCGTTGGAGGGACGTAGTGTCCTTAGGTATCCCAGATCATCACGACGGCAATCACCCCGACCCCAAGCGTCACGGCCAAGAACTTATGAATGGGGGTGTCCACGGAGACCGCCCTCCGCGGCACGTACCCTTTGGAAAGCAAGTGGTTTATGGAAACATAGACGAACACGCCGCAAGCCAAACCCATCGAGATGGCATAGATCCAATCTGCGACCGCACCCTGCGTGGTGGCGTCTATTATGATCCCTATGGCCACGCCGATGGGGCTTGAGATCGCGAAAGCGAATGCATACGAAACACACGACAAGAGAGGCCTGTTGGGCATCATCCTCAGGAGGGCGATGCCCATTGCGATTGCTGCAAATATCTTGTGGAGGGAAATGGTCCACAGGGCTTTCCACGCATCTGCCTTTGTCTCTGCGACTCCAATGGCGATGCCTTCGAAGACCGAGTGGAAACAGAGGGCGACGATCAACAGGATGCTGTCGCTGAGCGATCCTACGGCGGTGCTCGCGAGGTGATGATGGGTCGCTCCGTTTGCGCTGCTGTCCTTTCCCTGCACAGTGCTTCCTGCTATAAAAATGGAAAGATTTCAAAGATTTTCCTCGGATCCGATCGTCAATATAATGTTTTGCACATCATTTTTCTGCACACAGACAGCTGAGCTGAGGAAAAACTTGAAAACCTTGAATGGTTCCGATTCAATGAAAAGGTAAAAATCTTTCAAAGTAGGCATTAAATTCTCTCTTATCAGTTACTGTAGTAGACGAACGATTTGATCTTAAAAATCCGATTTTTACCTATACGTGCAAGAGCACCCTGTTTCGGTTATCAAGAGGGTCAATCGGCTCTGCGTAATGGAGACAAATGAAAGCACGGTGGACCAACGGCAACCTCTAAAAAGCTTCAATTTCGGAATTAACAAGGCAGGATCGATGGGCCCACTGGTCTGGAGGTTGACAAGTCAAAACAAAGGAAAAAAATATCTTTGCCTTCCCCTACAATTCTCACCTACCAAAAACAGAGCACCGGTAAACTTGAGCGATTAGACTCTGCTTCTGGAAAATTTCACTTTAAATTCATCGAAACTCTTCTACTTCCACTCACTAGGACGAAACAACGCCCATGTTCAAGGTCCTTGGTCCGTTTTGGCAGATTCAAGCTCAAGCAATGACTGTACTCTGTCTCTGATGCCACATGACAGAGCAAAAACAGAGTTTGCAGGCAACGATTAAATTCAAGCAATCGACCCCTCCACGTGCATTCATAATGGGAATCCGAACGATGAAAGAGGGAAGACGAAAGCAAAAAAAAAATGAAAGATAAGCAAGGACACAAAGCAGGTTTTGTTTTCCATTTACCTTGGACCTCCAAATCGCCAGTGGAGCGACTGCTCTGTCCCTCCTTCTTGCCGTAGACGTAGGAGAGAGCGCAGTCGGCGAGCATGGTGAGCAAGTATCCGGCGCTCGCGAGCATGAAGGCGAAGGGGTACTGCTTATCCGTCAGGTCGCCGAACGTCTCGTTGGCGTCGCTGAGGAAGTGCATCAGCGCCGTCCCCAGGAACACCCCCCCGGCGAACTGGGTGCCCAGGACCAGGAACGCCTCGTTCCACTTCAGGAAGTACGGGGACACGCCGCCGGCGAACGTGCCGACGAAGACCAGGATGAGGCACCAGATCTTCGCGAGGATCAGGGACTTGGACCGCAGGTCAACGTTCTGGTCCTCCCCGGAGAAGGAGAAGGAGGAGTCCCCGTCGTCGTGGCCCCCGCCATGGGCGGCGGCGGCGAGGAGGAGGGACAGGAGGAGGGAGAGGAAGAGGAGGAGGGAGCGAGACATCGTTCGGGGGCCGAGAGGGGATGGCGTGGAAGGCCCGAGGGGGGGGGGGGGTTCACATTTAAGAGGAATTGGTAACAATTTTGCAGTACAATATGCAGAGAGATCGTTTAAGGAGAAACAGAGGAAGTACAAAGACCACGCAACGGGGACGGCTGAAATTGGGCAGAAGTACGAGCAGCGACAGGTAAAGATGGGCTGTTTTCCAAGGAGAAATTCTGGTGTCGTTTAATTTAATTGCGTGATTATTATCACCAAACGAGTAATGATTACCGTGTGTACAAGTACACAAAACACAGAGCTTAATACAATAATAAGCCCATTTCGATTTCTTATCATATAGTTGGTATCGATGTGGCGACCCATCTTGGACCGTCATACACGGATGCCGTCGCTTCTTGCTCTTTTCCTTTCTTTATAACCTTAGTATATGTCATATCAAAAGGGTGGTTTGTGAATGCCAACTCACCAGCTCACGTGACGTCCATTAATCTGAGTTGGTGCAATTGGAAATCGACACGTGTCTCGGAAGGGAAAAAAAATTAAAAAATACGGGTTTTCTCTCTCTTCGTCTCCATCACGGCCACCGTCTCTCCGGCCACCTCCCAACTCGACCAATGACCATCCCCTTCTGCGCAACGCAGACGCGACAGATCTAGAGCAATGGTCACGTCTAGATATGGAACCGTAAAGCTATGGCCGCGACAGACTAGGAGGGTCGTGTCTAGATCTGGAATCGCGGAGCCATGGCCGCAACAAACCTTGGCGCCATGACAAATTTGGAGTGTGACCGTGTCCGGGAGGCGCCGATTACTCCGCCAATGTGGGCTCATGGTGGCTGCAATGGGGAGGAGGAAGAGAGATGTATAGAGATTTCTTTTTTTTTTTTATATCTAATTCCACGTCAATATATACATATACGTGTTAATTTCTAATTGGCTCAGAGTGAACAAATGCACGCCATGTCAGCCGGTGACATGGCATTCGCAAACCACCATATATCTTCTCCATCAAAAGAGGCAGGCTCATGAAGCTCGAATTTAGCTTTGTTCGGTTTTGCTTAAACAGAAAAAATGTTCACAAAAAATGACAAAAAACTTTTAAATTCTAACAATCATGAAGAGTACGAATTCACATGTCGGTGTACGCAGAACATGTTCGTCAAAGTTAGTCTCCGTCAAAACGAACAGTGCGTGCCCATTCGAGCAAAAGCAAGGTTTACTCGGCAAGCCCCGGCACAGAGGGCTAATGTTTAACCGCGGATCTTCGGATATAATCCAATGATCGGCTCCCATTCCAATCACCATCAACAAATTGATCCAAATGGGGACGGGGTAGATGATTGACATGAGAAGAACTTAACGGGAGGTCCACGCGCATGTCCTTCTTAGCGTTGGCGTGAAGCTGAGCTCTTCTCCGGGCCAGAGCTTTTCACATTACGTGTAGGTTCTCCTCTCACTTGGAAAAAGCATGGACGGCAGCGATTCATTACCCAATCTTTCTTTCCGGTCCTAACAAGAAGACCAAATTCACAACCATTCACATTTGGTAGGGCCACCCCGAAAACAATTATGAACCCCCCCAGTCCCAGTCCCAGTCCCAATCCCAATCCCAATCCCAATCGGAAGACGCATCAAATGGACCGCCAAGAACACGCCAAACAAGAAGAGTCCTGCCTCTTACATTGTTAGAGTAAAATCACGTCAAAGGAAAAAGGGGAAGAAGAAAAAAAAAGAGAATAGGGTCATAAGTATGAACACAAGAACAAGCAACTTCCACAAAACTGAGCCTGACTCAGTCACAAATTGTTCATTACTATAGATAGTCAAAGGATAAATTTTCCGGATCTGATCCTAATCACTGCAGAATGTATAGGGGACTATCCATGGCGCAATGGCAACTTTGGTAAGCAAAATTGTGTAAACAAGAGTGAAGCAAAACGCCTGACCGACTGCAAAAAGATATCAATACGGCACAGATTACAAGTTGCCTGGTTAGTTTTTCTAAATCATATGCTCGGTTCTCAGAAATCAAAATCTTCCAGCTGAAATCGCTGTCTAATTGCAAAGTTGCAAAGGAAAAATCGGTATGTCAACCTCTACAATGATGCCTTTCACACTGATCTAGTTTTATCATCCGAGTAGTTTATGAAACTCTTTGTCGTCTTTCCAACGTCGTTTGGACCCTCAACGTCGCCAAAAGCTTCTGGTTTGTCTCTGTTCCTGCATTCGCCTGCATTGATGACCAACCAAAGACTCAGAAAGTCATTTAAACAGTTTTATTTCAACTGTATTACTCATATAATACCTCCAGAGCAAGTATGGACTTAACCATTGGCATGCATGAGAATAAACCAATTTCGGAGAAATCAGTAAATTCTTCAACCAAAAAAGAAAAAGAAAAGGAAAGTGGCAATACTGGCAAAATCTACAGGAGCCACTAGGGCAACTCCAATGAAACAGGGACTAGCATACAAAAGGAATCGAGCGATCGGCCACTTTCGTCTGACCGAAAAAAAAACAGAATATCGGCCACTTTCAATGATGACAAAAATTGAAGGACAGTAAGACACAATGTGGATTTTGGATAATTGAATATGCACTTGGGAATTGCACAGAAACAGCACACAATGTCAGGACCACCTATTTCACCTTCTTAAAAGAATATTACTTCACTCTTGACAACATTTACAAAACGCCAAGGTGATGACAGTCCTAAGTCTGAGAGTCTTCAATAAGATAGATCTAGGCATGCTTAGGAGAAAAAAGAAGGAAAAAACAGTCTGCCTCAAAAAATAAAACAAGACTACACCGAGGAGATTAAAGGAAAAATGCTTCGCGTGATGGCAATTAAAAAGAAAAGGATAGATAGCAAATCAATGCCATCAATCATACTCAAGTGATTAATAAATAGCGCAGGAAAAGAACTGCATTATAAAGAATATCCAGAGATGGGTCGTTCCTGCCTACAAAAACTACGTATACACAGCATAGATAAGATGCAACATATAGAGACAAAACCTCACGATGTCCGAGCTCTGTTTCAATACAGAATTTGTACCTTTGATGCTCTTGAGAACGTTTGATGAACTCCTGGGCAATATCAGTCCCCTCATAAGATGCTAGCACTGGTCTAATATCTGTCGGTTGTCTTGTGGCAACAACTACATGAAACATTTCAGAGATGCCATTGAGTTTTAATGAGAATAATGAGCATATTGTTGATCAAGTACATATAATCATAAAAACCCTACGCATTTACAAAAATCTTACATTCAAGAAATGGAATAAGATCCAAAAGTGTTGTGTCGTCTGTTTCGAGCTTCCAAGGTTTAATTTCAACACAATTTTCAGGCTGAAGACATGATTCTCGTGCATGGCCACCAACATAAATGACTTTTCCAGGATTTCTATTAAGCTTTGAAAGATCCTGCCATGGAAGGTATACCAAAAGCTGAGCCTAATACAGAGTTTTTCTAAATCTTACACAAGGAGAAAAGAAGATTCAGGAAAGAAAGACACTCAATCAAGAAACAGAAAAGTCCTGCAGCAGTGGATCGTCGAAATTCTTGAGAAACTATGGGATTCAAAACAGTAGACAATGGCTAATGCAAAAAAAAACATATCACTGAACAAGCCATTTAAAAGGAGAATGGCCTAAAAGACCTTAAAGATGAGGAAAAAAAGCTACATGGATGAGGACACTGTTAGCTGTTTCTTCAGGGAAAACAAAAAGTTTGACATAGATCATGAAGATTATGAAAGTTGGACAAGGTTATAAGAACAAGAAGTGCATAAAAAAAGAAAATCTGTGTCGAAATGAGAATAATGACTAGCGATCTAACATGACGTTATCAACCAGATGAAGATCATACGAGAAGATCATTGGTTGGGGAGAGTTTAGAATAACCAATTTAACATACTCTATAGTGCTTTCCATCCTGATACTTGGTTGCACCTCTGTTCAGCCTATAGCGTATACACTGTTTCCCATCCAGCCTTTCAACAACAGGATCGACATACTGCAAAATCCATGGGCCAAGTTAGATGCATGAATAGAATGAGCATCAAAGCAGAAGAGCACATTTGAGGTTCGTCCAATTTAAGGATAGAAAATCCAAATACCATCTGCAGCTGGTCCGAGTAGATGACAATTTCATAGAATTTCCCCAGATGTTCCAAGAAGGCATCTACACCAGGTCTTTTGAATGTTCTCCAGCCTCTGTCACGCTTTCAAGTGGAAAAAAAAAATAGTTCTAAAATTAAAACATGATTGAAAGAATTGCTTATTCCCAATAAAACAATCATGATAAAGTAAAGTCATCTGCAAATCAGTAGATAGGTATATGTACAGAAACTTCTAATCCTTGAATGATGCCTTCGCAAGTAAAATTAATGCAGATACTTAGGAAAATATGGATACATAGCTAGTCCTCAAGAGAACAGTGCAAGGACAGATCACCACAGCGTAGCTTACCTTCCAATCAGAGTAAACCAATGTCTCATTTAAATCTAGAACAAGTGTGAAAACATGCTGCTCCATTGGATGCAAATCCGGAAGAAGCTTATCTGATGTCGGTTCCGTATAACCCTGTGACCAATTTATGACAACATAATCAAGCACACAAGAAATGCCCCTGGATGATAAGATGCATCGAGTATTCATTAGGCTTACTTGAATTTGGTCTTCAATTACTTTTCTCAAATCCAAATAAAGCTCAATAGCTTTGGCAGGTACTGCAAATCACCAAGATGACAATATACTCAATATCCATAAGAATGTAAAGGATAGGGGATAAATGGCCAAAATAAATTCAATAGGTTGCTAAATGAAACTCCTGACTGCCAGTTCTAGTTGATATGACAAATATTTACATTATATTTGGAGGTTGGCTTGAGCCAATTTCTGCTAACAAAATTCTAATCTTAGCCTCTGCACAAATGCCTACCAGATAACATTTAAAATTTGTTGGGGGATCATTGCTAATGAGGATTCTTCTCTGTTTAAGATCTATCACTTTAAATAAACCATTAGACTTCCAAGGAGAAATTGTCACCCCCTTCTCAGCAGCTAATCTTTTTAGTTTAGAAAAGAGGGTAATTTGACCACATACTCCAAGCTTATTTAGGGCATATCTAAATAGACTTTTACTTTCCCTTTTTTGCTTAATCTAAATCTTGCAGTGGACGCACTTTGATTTTCTTTTTCAACCCTAATCAACTGAAAATTTTGCAATATACAATCGCTGATATTCGCATAATATTTTGTCATACTTTTTTAGAATTTGTATAATATTTTAAATTTTGGCGGGAAAGCAAAAAAGTACTAAACAAACAAGCCATTACTTTAAGAATATATAACAGTTAAAGTTAACAGAAATCATCAGCTGAGCAACGAGCTGAGCAACAACCTTTTCCCAAATTACACGTGTCAACATAGCAATCTAAAGGTGTGTTTACAATATACTTTTTCCTTTTGCTTTTTTTTTATATCTTGCAAATCATGTATTTGACTTTTTTGTCACGAAACACCTAAAGCCTTTCACAGTATATAAACGGATGACAAGTAAATTTGTATGTAATATTCTTCATAATATTTTGAAATTTGAATAATATTTCAATTTTGCTGGGGGAAAAACGCACTTTTTGCCTCTTAAATGTCTAAACAAAAAACGCCCTAAGAACTCAAAAGGAAAATTGTAAAACAAAAATGATGATTGATGACTACAGGCAGTGAAAAGCCCGCAGATATATAACATGCTTGCAACATATTAAAAGGAAAACTATCCCCTAAATATGCAATTGGACGCCCACAAAAGGATTTATGAAAGAATACATTTACACTTGAGTGAAGAAAAAATTTGGAAATGCACATTAACCAGTCATCTCAACTGCTGTGTGTGCGGAGATATACACCAAGGAATAACTTGCCATGGCCAAGTAGGATCATAACAGTGCAAAACAACACTGAAATGAAGAGAACTAACCTGTCATAGCAGCAGAGTAAAGTAGCCCTTGGAACTTCTACAAAAGAAAATTAGTAACAAAAAATGAAGTTGTTACTATCAAAACATATCCTCTGTATTTTCAGGGTAGCAGCTAGCAGCATTGCGACAAAAGCAGTGTGAAAGGTGAAAACTTCACATGCAGGTAATATAACGAAAGCCCCAAAAGAAAAGCATCTTAACCCAATTTGCATACATTTTTGGAAAAAAAAAATGAATTGGGCCTATGTAGTATCACGGATAGAAATCCTTGAATCAAAGGATATATATCGCACCAATCACTCCAATAATTCTGAGAAAAGAAGTCTTCAAATCCCAATCCTTTCGTTAACTTACAATTTACTAAACTATTTTTCTGGGATCCATACACAATAGACGATTTCCATACCAATGTCTACAGATGATTGGAAGAGAGCCAAAACAAAATCACACTCATCATCAAATATTGGAAAAGGTGCAGAATTATGCTTAGTCGCATGAAAGTCACCATAAGTTTCCGAAAAAGTGAGGAAAAAAGCAATGCGTATTTCACAATTTTACTCCTCGTGAAGTTAACAATAAATGTTATTTCTCGCAACCGGGGATTCAAGGAGAGAGCCGCACTCACATCAACTGCGGAATCAGAGTCTTTCGTATCGTAATGGATCGAACTCCGAAATGCCTTTGTTTTCTCATCTATTTCGTCCAAAGAGTATGCTGCGATTGGAAATAACAAGAAAATCAAAGCACGTCAACCCTCCGCACTCTTCCTACAATCCGAAGCTAAAAAAGCTCATCCTTTAGCCTATAACACCTACACCAATCACACTCAAATGCACCAGACACTGTCAATTGGCTATCAGCATAACCATCGGTAACCTCAAAACTTTCACGCACGAGACGTACGATCGATAATGCTAGAGACATCGAAACTCTTCAGCTCCCCATGACAACTAGAGGAAACACCGGAACACAACAACTCCAGCAAAACGATCAGCAATCAACACTCCCCAAAAAAAAAAAAAAAAACCGAGGCTCCCGACGGACCGTAGGTGGCGACGCCGGCGGCGGCGGCGACGCCAGTGACGGCGGCGGCGAGTCCGTACTTGAGGAAGCCCCGGGGCTTCTTCTCCGCGGGAGACGGAGCCGGCTCCTGCGGGGGCGGCGGGGGCTGATCGGAAATGAGGGTCCGGGAGGCGACGGCGGCTATGGGCTCCTTGTGGGGATGAATCGAGGGGGCGTCGGAGCTCAGGGACCGCCGGCCGCGCCTCGAGAGCAACGAGGCGGCGCGAGATCGGAGGAGGATCGACGACATTTCCGATCCCCCCTTCCTCCGGTTTCTCCGATTTGGGGATTGCAGCAGTGATCAGGGGGGTTGAAGTAGGGTTTTTGCAGAGAGGGAGAGGGAGGGGAGAGAGGAGGGAGAATGGGGGTGTTTGGGAAGCGGGATTGGGTAATTCGATGTTGGGATTCGTTTCGTTTCCGGTGTGTTTGGCGACGGGGTTAAGTTTGCTCTTTTGGCGGTTTTACGCGACGGGCTAGGCGGTGGGTGAATTTTTATCTGGTAACTCAGGTTGCGAATGATAACCATTTTATTTCTCTATTTCTGTTTCAAAAATAGGTTTGGAATAGACATCCATTTGGTAACACAATTTTCATTCTTTATTTCGGAAATAAATTTTTGAAATAGAAATAGGTTTGGAACAGAAATCAGAAGTAAAAATTGTTTGCTTTTCTATTTCAAATAAAAACAATTTCTATCTCTTCAGCCTAAAGAGACTTCCACCAAAGACGAAGATTTCTGGCTTTGAACTCTTCTCCACCTCTTCAACAGAAAGAGAGACCACAAAAACACTAGGCACCTCGTTGCGACTCCGACTTCGTCGCCGCCGTCCTCGCCGCCGTCGACGTCGTCCTCCTCGCCGCGATGCCGTCCTCCTCACCGCCACAGGAACGTGCGGAGGAGGAGGAGGAGGGCCGGGAAGAGATGAAGAAGGAGGTCCCCCTGGGACCTCAAGCGTGCTAGTTTCCTCGCCACTGCCGTTGCTCCACCTCTCGTCGCAGCGCTCATCGCCTTGTCTCCTCTCTGTCTCGCTCCAGGTGCGCCGCTTTCCTCGTTCCTTGACTCTGCCGTAGCGCCGTTGCCTTTGCGCTCTCTGTGTGCGGAATGGGGCGGTCTTGTCAAATGTGTTTGAGTGTCGTGTGGAATTTGTTGGAGCGGAATTTGTCGGAGCGGATGGCTGTGTTCTGGTACTATCTGTTAGATTACGTTAGTTGGCTCATGACTGTGAAAGCGTGCCGGAGACATGCTTCGGTTTCGTGTTTTCTTTTTGATGAACTCGAAAGCTGAGAAGAAAATGAAGAAGGATGATTCGTTGGATAGGCTGATTCACATCTTCTGCGTTGATGTTTTTGTTGTTAGAGAAGGAGCAATTTGCTTAGCTTTGCATGATTACATTCATTGCAAGGCTAATTCCCGCTTCAAGAACAGAGAATTGCGCCTGGTTTAGTGGTTTACTAATTCTAAAACTACTCGGGCTTGATTGCAGGTGGATGAGTGCCCATTTGCTTGTCTTGTCATCTAGAATATGTGACGGGTAGTAGTGTATCGTGTGATTTTTACGTCTAATCAATGTGCCGATCCGTATCACTATCGGGGTCAGCATGTGCTACCGTGAGTTTTCAACATTGCTTACATACTTTTGATATGTGATTAGTTTGGATCTATTAGAATTAGTGCTTTCTATCCTTTTTTGGTAGATCTCTTGAATGAGTACATTTATGTAGTCTCTACAGCTTTTGTTTGCACACTGTATTGTAGAACACCCAACCATTTGACGATAAGGGTGCGCATGGAATGCATTTCGGAATAAAAATTCTGTTCCGGAATGCATTCCGGAACAGAATGGCGTTTGTTAAAAAATTTCCGGAATGCATTCTGGAGCGATTTTTACATTCTGGAATAAAAATGTGTTTGTTAAAAATACTTGATTCCAGAATGCATTCTTGATTCCAGAATGCATTTTTTATTCCGGAATGAGTTTTTGGCAAGAAAAAGAGAAGTTACTTTTTGTAGCTTCTTGATTCCGGAATGCATTCTCCCTATTTTCTCACAAATTTTTTTTTTCAGAAAATGCATAAAAATTGAAAAATTCTAGAAAAATTCATAAAAATTTCCATAAAATAAAAAAAGCCAGATTTCGGGAAAATATGAAATTTAGTGAATTTTTTTAAAAAAAAATCAAAAATTTCAAAACTTCACAGAATAGCTTAAAACACATGTGGCCACCCACTTTGAGTGAAATTTAAATTTTTTGAGGTGCCCAAAAAAAATAAAAAAATTTCAAAACTTCACAAAATGGTTTAAAATACCTGTGGCCACCTACTTTGAGTGAAATTTAAATTTTTTGAGGTGCCCAAAAAAAATAAAAAAATAAAAATTTTCAAAACTTCACAAAATGGCTTAAAATACCTGTGGCCACCCACTTTGAGTGAAATTTAAATTTTTTTAGGTGCCCAAAAAGATAAAAAATTTCAAAACTTCATAGAATGGCTTAAAATATCTGTAGCCACCCACTTTGAGTAAAATTTAAATTTTTTGAGATGCCCAAAAAAATAAAAAAAATAAAAAAATTCAAAACTTCACAAAATGGCTTAGAATACCTGTGGCCACTCACTTTGAGTGAAATTTAAATTTTTTTAGGTGCCCAAAAAAAATTTAAAAAAATCAAAAATTTCAAAACTTTACAGAATGGCTTATAATACATGTGGCCACCCACTTTGAGTAAAATTTAAATTTTTTTAGGTGCAAAAAAAATCAACAAATCAAAACAGATTTCTGTTCCAGAAATCAATTTCTGGAGCAGAATTAGTCATGTTTTACCAAACAGATTTCTCCTCCAGAAATTAATTTCTGGCAAGAATTCCAGAAATCAATTTCTGGCAAGAATTTGATTTCTGGAGCAGAATGGTTACCATTCACACCCTAAGATTCTAAGGCTTTCTCCTTGTCTTCTAGGTTGTATATAACTTATAGAAGCCCTTATGCCCAGCGTGTATAGATGACTAGGAATTGCAAGGTCTCTCTCTCTCTCTCTCTCTCTCTCTCTCTCTCTCTCTCTCTCTCTCTCTCTCTCTCTCTCTCTCTCTCTCTCTCATATTGCTTTTCTTCTGATTCTCAGTCCTTTATTCTGTAACTCCAACATGGTTTCTGTCGAGTTGTTGCAGGGACTGCAAGACAAGATCAAGTTGGTCCCTCTCTCTCTCCACGACAAACTTGCTTGGTACAAAGAGAAAGTTTACCCCATAGACAAGGCACTGCTCTCTCCCTCTCTTTAGTCAAGTTGTCCTGTACGGAGCTCTGTGTCATTGATGAACTCTGTTAAGAATTCCATTGAGAATTGAATTGAAAGATTTTGCACTATGAAACATGTGCTTGCATTAGACACTACAACGTTCAGCAAAAGATTACTCTTATTTACTGAGGATGAATAATCTTTTGCATGGGTTTTGTGTGTTGCTTCTTAACTCATAACAATCGAGTATAATTTGGCAAAAAACTAGTAATGATACTCATGGGTCTTGTTTGCTCTGAACTCCTGAGTTGCTCTAGAGTAGTCGAATTAATCAAGTGCCCGTGCTAGGTGATGCAAAACGGTGCGTTAATCTGATTGATGTCGTGTTATGCACATTACAATTTGACATGTATGATGAAAACACCACATGATGTATGGTCTATACATGTATGCTTGCAATATATGCTTGCTTGATCTGATAAGAGGATGTTCTCTTTCAATTTCTTCATGTATTTTGGTTTATTAGCAGTCATTATATATTATTGTGATCTTGACATCAAAGCTTCTGCACTTGAATTGGTATATCATCTGATATGGCTCATTTGATGTTCAACCAGTTAAGGTTAAATGATATCCAACAAAGAGGTTCTTATGGCAAAGTGGACCAAGCCTTTGACTAATCTACTTGTAAGTTTGTTGGTAGAAGAGGTAAAAAAAGGAAATCGCACCACCTGTACTTTCAACAAAGCAAGGTGGAATAACATACGTGCTGAATTCAATAAACAAACAGGATTCCAATTTAGTGTAATTTAGTTGAAGAACAGGATAAACAAACTAAAAAGACAGTATGGTAGTTTTAAGAAGCTTATTTCACAATCTGGATTTGGATAGGATAATGTAAATAAAAAGGTTACTGTAGACGATGCAAGTGTATGGGAGTCTCACATCAAGGTATTACTTTACTTGGGTCATTTTGTTTTTATTAAGGATGTAAGTTTCAATGATGTTGCTGACGTATGTCATTATTGTGAAAAGTGTAGGTTAATAGCGAATGGGCTAAATTCAAGAATGATGGATTTCCTCAGTATCCCCAGCTGTTTATTGTGTTTGGTGATACATATGCTACTGGGGAGTATGCAGCAAGAAATGTAGAAGACTTGTTGATGTCGGAGGGAGAAGACAATGGTGTTAGTGGTGGTGTTGCGGTAGGTGATTCAGAGGAATTTAATGAACACCATATTAATGAGGGAGTCTTTACACCTGACATGACTGCCACCCCAATTCGTGAGAAGCACAAGTTACATAGGACTCCAAATTTCGAGAGGAGGAGAAAGAGTAACACATATTGTGTTAGTGGCACATGTAAAGCCATTCAAGAAATGATCAAATTCAGGACGGGTCAATCAACAAGTGGCTCCGTCACCTTACATGCCCCACCACTTGTAAACCCCTACTCCATAGGAGTTGTGGTTGCCATCCTAAATGGCATGCCTAACTTGGAGCATGATCTTTACAACAAAGCCATGAATCAGGCATGTCTTAATGCCACTTGGAAAGAGGCTTTCATCATATCTCTACCTGAAAGGAGGCGTGGACTTCTTGAATCTCTTTAAATAGTTGTTGAGAAATATGCTATGGATTTATGTTTGGCTTAATTTCATTGTATGACTTTTATACTTGAGACTTTGGTTTTTTTATGATACAACTATAATGACATTGTGGCTACTGTTTGGTTTTTTCTTATGATGCAACTATAATGACATTGCGGCTATTGTTGATTATTATTGGAGTCCTTATCAGATGTGTTTACATTCTTATTTCGTGTAATGGCATAGGTAATATGGAGGGGGTGAAAGTAGTATTTATAATGATGAAGTAGCATCAGTCGAATCAATTAAACAAGACTTTGATGATTTTGATCTTGATATACTGATGGCCTAGTTGTGCACTATTATGGTGGATATGTCCATGCACATGAGAGAATCTATTAGGGACAGTATATTATCAGGACCCGAATGGGTAAGAGAGATTCTATATGGACATTCAAATAGAGTATATAAAGCTTTAGAATGGAAAGACATATCTGGCCTAATACCCTAAAAAACCTCAAACTTTATTTTTTGTCCCAAATTTACCTTTTATCTCATAAAAAACCTCCAACTTTAGGTTATATCCCAATTTTACCATAAACTTTTTTTTGTCTCATAAAAAACTCTAAACTTTAGGTCTTGTCCTAATTTTACCCAAAACTTTTTTTGTCCTATAAAAAATCTCAACTTTTTGTCTCGTCCTAATTTTACCGTTCAATCCCAATTTTACCATAAAATTTTTGTAGATTCACAAAAAACCACAAAATTTTACTTGAATCACGAATCTACCTCCATTAACCCTCTGTCCAAAATTTTTTGTTGACAACTGAGAGATGGAAAACTCCAAAGCACGAGCTGTTCGAGCGTCCCGAGCGCAAGCTCTCTAACCACGAGAGAAAGGGCAAAAGTACACCACAAGTGCCATAACTTGTGTACGGAGATCACTTTGGTGCCATAACTTTTTTTTGGATCACTTTGGTGCCAACTTTCTTGAAAAACGATCACTTTTGTGCCAATGCTGACATGGCCGCTGGAAATCTGACGTGGCTCTTTTTTTATTAATTTCCGATGCCGACATGGCTCGCCAGAAATCTGACGTGGCTCGCCGAAAATCTGACGTGGCTCTTTTTTTGGCCGGAATTTTGGCCGGAGTCACTAAAGTGATCTTTTTTCTCCGATTTTGGCACCAAAGTGATCCGAAAAAAAGTTATGGCACCAAAGTGATCTCCGTACACAAGTTATGGCACCAATAGTGTCCTTTTGCCCGAGAGAAAGCACAGGAGATCAAAGACTGAGTGCAAAATCACTAAGCGCGATTTTGACGGAGGGTTAAAGGAAAGCAGATTTGGGACTCATGTAAAAGTTTGTGATCTTTTATGAGACAAAAAAAATAGAGTTAAATTGAAACTGGACCTAAAGCTGGAATTTTTTATGAGACAAAAAAGTTTCGGGTAGAATTAGTACTTAACCTAAAGTTGAGGGATTTTCATTAGAAAAACAAAGTTTAGGGTAGCGAATGATAACCATTCTGTTCCGGAATGAGTTCCTGAACCAGAAATAGATTTTTCTATTTCTGGTTCCTGGATGAGTTTCTGAGAAAAAAAACCCGTTTGATAACGACAAAAAATTTCTATTTCTAGAACAGAAACCCGTTTGATAACAGCACAAAATTTCTATTTCCTGAAACAAAAACCCGTTTGATAAACAACAGAAAATTCTATTTCCAGGAACACAAATCCATTTTTTTAGAAATAGAATAAAAATAATTAAAAATTCCGAAAAATTCATAAAAATCTCAAAAAAATTCAAAAAATCCCAAAAAATTGAAAAATTCCAGAAAAAATCATCAAAATGTCGAGAAAATAAAAAAAATTCAGATTTCGGGATAATAGGAAATTTGTTTAATTTTTTCAAAAAAAAATCAAGAAATCAAAAATTTCAAAACTTCACAGAATTACTTAGAATACATATAGCCACCTACTTTGAGTAAAATTTATATTTTTTGAGGTGCCCAAAAAAATAAAAAATAAAAAAAATTTCAAAATTTCACAAAATGGCTTAGAATACCTATGGCCACCCACTTTTTGAGTAAATTTTAATTTTTTTGGGATGCCCAAAAAAAATTTTAAAAAATTAAAAATTTCAAAACTTCACAGAATGGCTTAGAATACCCGTGGCCAATCATTTCAAGAGAAATTTAATTTTTTTGAGATTTCCAAAAAAAATAAAAAAATTAGAAATTTCAAAATTTCATAGAATGGCTTATAGAATACCTGTGGCCACCCACTTTGAGCGAAATTTAAATTTTTTTAGGTGCAAAAAAAATCAAAAAATAAAAAAATGAAAAATTTCAAAACTTCACAGAATGGCTTAGAATACCTGTGGCCACCTACTTTGAGCGAAATTTAAATTTTTTTAGGTGCAAAAAAAATATAAAAAATCAAAAATTTCAAAACTTCACATAATAATTTAGAATACTTCTAACCACTCACTTTGAGTGAAATATACAATTTTTGAGGTGCCCAAATGGTATTTTTGATTTTTTGCATTTTTAATTTTTATTTCGTCACCTATAAAAATATTAAATTTCACTCAAAGTGGGTGGCCACAGGTATTTTAAGCCATTCTGAGAAGTTTTGAAATTTTTTATTTTTTTTAATTTTTTTTCGACAGCTAAAAAATTAAAATTTCGCTCAAAGTGGGTGGCCACAGGTATTCAAAGCCATTCTATGAAGTTTTGAAATTTTTGATTTTTTTAATTTTTTTGGGGAATCTCAAAAAAATTAAATTTCTCTCGAAATGGGTGGCCACAAGTATTCTAAGCCATTCCGTGAAGTTTTGAAATTTTTAATATTTTTAATTATTTCGACACCTAAAAAAAATTAATTTTACGTTAAATTCGTAACGTTACGTATGCCCGCACACAAATTCCAGTCAAATTAATGCAAATGGCCAAGCACTGGAAAGGGTCTTCAACATTCAACCACCATCGCTCTCGATATTTGCTCTCAATATTTGTGAGTATGCATCGTTCCTCATAATATCCCAAATGCTTATGGAGAAAAGTAAACCAAGCACATCACATTACAAGAGCCAATATAGGAGATCCCAAAATACCACGTCACATTACAAGAGCCAACATAAAAAATCCTCAAATACAAAATAAAGAAAATACATTAGAAAAGTCGGAAACACATTTTCATGGAATCTCCGCCATATTATTATCAATTGCCAATTGATTGGCAATTCTTTTCTTAAGCATGTTGATCTCGATATCCTCCTCAGTCGATGTATCGTCAATAACCTCATCTTGTGCATTTCCAAACGGATATTCTGAATCACCATATTGAGAAAAGTTCTTATCCATCTTGTCTTGATCACGGATGTAATTATGAATAGCACAACATGCAATTACAATACATGACTGCTTTTGAATTGAAAATGAAGGCATGTGTCTCAAAATGAAAAAGCGATTCTTTAACACCGCAAATGATCTCTCAATAACATTCCTTAGTGAAGAATGCCTATGGTTGAATAATTCTCTTGCTGTTGTTGCCTGCCTCACTCTACCCCTAAAATCATTAATATGATACCGTTCCCCTTTGAAAGGAGTCAAAAATCCCGGAGCTGCAGCATAACCAGAATCTACCACGTAGTATTTGCCTAGCAAAAGGTATTCATATATTGATCATGATTCGCAAATGCAATACAATTATACAGAAAATTATCCCATGAAAAACAAGCAAATACCTGGTGGAGGTCGAGGAAATTGTAAGCGATGTGTCTCGAGTGCTGCCGAGAGCACCCGACAATCGTTGGCAGAACCTTCCCAACCAGCATACACAAATGTAAATTTCATATCAAATGAACAAACACACATCACATTTTGAGTGGTAATTCCTTTCCTGCCTCTAAATGGGATCTGTTTCGACACTGGTACAGAAGCATGAATGTGAGTGCCATCAATAGCGCCTATGCAGCCCTGTCATTTCAGCAAAGACTAGCATTATACAAGATTATCAATAAAATGTAAATGACGGTGTAAAGGAATGTATGCAAATCCTACCTTAAAGTAAGGATTATATTTAGGATTGATAAGAATTTCTTCTGGGACAACATCAAATGAAGGTGGTACGATAATTTCTCTTGCCAAATTCAGAACTGCTTGCAACACTTTAGCAAAGTACTTGCTGATAGTTTGTCCCAAATGTTGGAATCTCTCACATAAATCTCTATTCGAGTTCTTGTGAGAAATCATAGATAAAAATATCCCAACTTGTTCGTCTACCCTAATATATCGACTATCTGCCAACCAACCCCTCGCCTTCATTAAATCACAAAGGTTGAGAAAAACATGCCTCTCCATTCGAAAAGTTTCATATATCCTATCTGAATGTCCATAAAGAATCTCTCTTATCCATTCAGGCCCTGACAATTTACTGTCCCTAATAGGTTCTCTCGTGTGCATAGACATGTTCACCGAAACAGTACACATCCATGCTTTCAGTATATTAAGTTCAAAATCATCGAAGACCTGTTCAATTGGTTCAACTGATGCTATTGGACCATTATTGCTGCTACTTTCAACCCCCTCCATATTACCTATGCCCTCGCACGAAGAACACAAACACAACAAATAAGTCAGGAATCAACAGTAGTCACAACGTCATCATAGTTCCATAATTAACAATAGCCACGTCATCATAGTTGCATAATTAAAAACAAACCAAAGACATCATAGTTCCATAAATAAAAACAAACCAAAGTATCTCAAGGACACAAGTCATTAAGTGAAAATAAAGCAAACATGAAAAAGTCATCGTAGTTCTCAACATCTATTCAAAGAGATTCAAGAAGACCGCGTCTCCTTTCAGGTAAAGATAGGACGAAACCCTCTCTCCAGTTGGCACTAAGGCATGCTTGGTTCATAGCTTTGTTGTAAAGATTTTGCTCTAAGTCAAGCATGTCATTTAAGATGGCAACCACGGCTCCCATGGAGTAGGGGTTCTTGGGTGGGGGGACATGTGAGGTGATGGAGCCACTTGTTGATTGACTCGCCTTGGACTTGATCATATCTTGAATGGCTTTGCAGGTGCCAGCAATATCATATGTGCTACTCTTTCTCCTCCTCTTGGAATTTGGAGTCCTATCCAACTTGTGATTCTCACGAACTTGTGTGGCACTCACGTCAGGTGTGAAGACTCCATCACTAAGTTCGTTTGGATCACCTACCAAAGCACCACCACCATTGTCACCACCACTACCATCGTCTTCCCCCTCCGACACCACCAAGTATTCTGCATTTCCTACTGCGTAATCCCCAGTAGCATATGTATCGCCAAACACGATACACAGATCGGGATATTGAGGAAACCCATCCTTTCGGAATTTAGCCCATTCGATGTTATCATGCAATTTAAAAAATAGTGACATACGTCAGCAACATAATCGAAACATACATCCACAATAAGAACAAAATGACCCAAGTAAACTGATACCTTGATGTGATCATCCCATACACTTGGATCCTCCACAATAACCGTTTTGTTAACATGATCCCATCCAAATCCAGATTGTGAAAGAAGCTTCTTATAACTCCCATACTGTCTCCTCAATTTGTTTGTCCTGTTCTTCAACTGAACTACAGTAAACTGGAGTGTTGTTTGTTTATTGAACTCGGTAACTATGTTATTCCATCCTACTTTGTTGTAGGTAGTAGTGGTGCGATTTCCTCTTTTTACCTCTTCAACCATTAAGCTTACAAGCAAATTGGTTAAAGGCTCAGTCCACTTTGCCACAAATGTCTCTTTTTGAGATGCCATTTACCCTTAACTGGTTGAACATCAAATGAAGCACATCATATGGTGTACCAATTCAAATGCAGAAAAGTATAAGAGAGAAAATGGCATAGTACTAGTCATCAATCATATTTCAGCATTCTTGAAATTCAATAAGGTTCACATGCCATAAGAACAGCACCATATGAAAGTTACAGCGGCAAATAGAGTTCTGCAATGGCAGCTAGTAATAACTTTTGCACATAAAGCCAACTTTTTCTTCTTGTTTATATTTTCTATAAGATAAGTAAAACGGAATTCACCGGTAAAAGACTTGGATGTCCTTGTAAACAACGAAGCATAGATGACAAGTTGCTACTAGTGCAAACTACAACAAAGGGGATAAACAAAGAAAACCGACCGTTGAAAATCACACCAAATTTCAAATAGACTTCACTTGCAGTAGTGAGAGCGACCAGAACTCTAGTTCGCAACAAAATTGCAAAAAATAAAATCCCGAAACTAAACCGCATGATCACCTAGGAGATAACACTACCAAGTTGACTACACCCAATGATTTTTATCCAGGAAAACAAAAGGAGGATTACGTTTGTTGCTCTCTCGTGGTTCCGAAGCTTAAGATCACATTGCTGTTCGAAAGTGCAAAAGGAGTTTTCACATTTTTACATTGTCTCAAACTCATCACACAAGCGAAACAAGTAAACTGAATATACAATCTGCATAATCAGCAATTTCATCAAGTTAAATTGGTTTACAGTTAAGTGGCAACAGCCAATCAAACTAACTAATACACCATCAAATCCCAACCAGATGAAGACATGCTCAGGGCATCCAATGTGGACAAAGTTCCAAATATAGAGTGATTATAGCTCGTTCAGGTTTTTAGCAGTGGGTTTAAACATAGCATACTAATCGATCACCTGACTTTTTTGAAGGTGCAACTAAAGGAATCAACATAAGCATATAGCTCGGTCTAGGTGATTTTCCATCATCCCCTAAAAACAAAATTGGTCTAGGTGATTTTCTTGCGTAGGAACACAAATAGTTCGGGCTTTTTGATCACCATCAGTAAGTTCTATTCAAGTGAAATTCGAACTTGATGCTTGTAGCATCAGCTTTATCTGATATCCACTGAAGTAAGAGAAGACCGATGTCACAAAGTTCGCTTCGATCGCCTTGACTTGCGAACGCCCAACAGATCATGTTACACTCTAAAATCCCACGACAGCAATTCAATCAACTGAAAAAACAGGGGACACATACAAAGCAATCACGACAGCATCAGCCCCCGAATCAAACACTAAAAACAACCGAATTTTTCCCAAACTGACCGAGGGAAAGCAACGGACGCCGAGACTCCTGGGAGGAGGGGTGATCTCTTTCACGATCTTTCTTCCTGCAGGAGATATGAAGGCCCTGCGCGCGAGCAAAAACCCACCACGTAAAAAAACCGGCGACTTTTCGAGACATCAACCTCGTTCGCACGCACCCATTCCGAAATTAAACGAACAAAAAAAAAAGGGGGAAAAAACCTCCATGGAAATGGTGAAATGCCGGCGGTCGACCTCGCCGTCGCCCGGATCCGGGCGATGGCGAGGTCGACCGGCGGCCATGGCGAGGCCGCTCGGTGGGGGAGGCCGAGCGGCCTCGCCATGGCCGGCGGTCGACCTCGCCATCGCCCAGATCTGGGCCATGGCGAGGTCGACGGCCAGACCTGGGCGAGGCCGAGCGGCCTCGCCATGGCCGGCGGTCCACCTCGCCGTCGCCCAGATCTGGGCCACGGCGAGGCCGAAGCTGACCCCCCCGATCACGGCGACTTCCAAATCCAGAAAAGAGAGAGATGAGAGGAGATGCAGGGCAGGATCGGAGCTTACGTGGAGCAGGAGCGAGCGAGCGAGCGGCCCTGGCTTCCTCTCGGTCGGAGCGAGCGAACGAGCGGCCTGGCTTCCTCTCAACGGCGACGGAGAGAGTACAGAGAGAGACGGGCAGATTAGAGAGAGAGAGAGATGAGAGGAGACGAGAGACAGATGTTTTGAAGAGAATGAGTTCCTCAGAAATGGTTCTGAGTTTTGTTCAAGAAACGAAAAACCAACTTTTTTTAGGTTCTGATTTCTGGTTTCAGAACCGGTTCTGGGACAAAACTTGTCCCGGAAATAGAAAAATAAAATTACGTTACCAAACGGGTTTCTGGTCCAAAACTGATTCCGGGAACAAAAAACCAGTTCTGGACAGAACCAGAATGGTTACCATGCGCGCCCCTAAAGTTTGGGGGTTTTATGGGATAAAAAATAGTTTAGGGTAGAATTGGGACATGACCTAAAGTTAAAGGTTTTTTATAGACAAAAGGTAAAATTGGGACAAAAGCTAAAGTTCGAGGTTTTTTAGGGTATTAGGCCGACATATCTTTCTCAACCTTTGTGATTTTATGAAGGCAAAAGATTGGTTGGAAGATAGTCGACATATTAGGGTAGATGAATAAATTGGGATTTTCTTGTCCATGATTTGTCACAAGAACTTGAATAGAGATTTATGTGAGAGATTCCAACATTCGGGACAAACTATCAGTAAGTACTTTACTATAGTGTTGAAAGCAGTTCTCAAACTGGCAAGAAAGGTTATTGTACCCCCTTCCTTTAATGTCGTCCTAGAGGAGATTCTTATGGATCCTAACTATAAACATTACTTTAAGGTAGGATTCTCACACATTCCTTTACACCATCAATTTTATTTTGTTGATAATAATGTATAATACTAGTCTTTGATAAAATGACAGGGTTACGTAGGTGCTATTGATGGCACTCATGTTCATGCTTTTGTACCTGTGGAGAAGCAGATCCCATTTAGAGGCAGGAAAGGAATTACCACTCAGAATGTGTTGTGTGTTTATTCATTTGATATGAAATTTACTTTTGTGTATGCTGGTTGGGAAGGTTCTACCAACGATTGTCGGGTGCTCTCGGCAGCACTCGAGACTCCTCACTTGGAATTTCCTCGACCACCACTAGGTATTTGCTTGTTCTTTAAGCAGTAATTTTCTTTATGATTGGATTGCGATTGCAAATCATGACCAATAAATGAATACCTTGTTATAGGCAAATACTACATGGTAGATTCTGGTTATGCAGCAACTCCAGGATTTTTAACTCCTTTCAAAGGTAAACATTATCATCTAAATGATTATAGGGGTAGAGCAAGACGGCCAAGAACAGCAAGAAAATTGTTCAACTATAGGCATTCTTCACTAAGGAATGTCATTAAGAGATCATTTTGAGCATTAAAGAATCGCTTCTTCGTCTTGAGAAGCGTGCCTTCATTTACAATTCGAAAGCAAGCACGTGTTGTAATTGCATGTTGTGTTATCCATAATTACATCCGTGATCAAGACAAGATGGATAAGAACTTTTCCCTATATGGAGATCCGAATTACGAGTTTGGACCTACACAAGATGAGGTTACGGACGATACATCGACCAGGGAAGGAACCGAGATGAACATGCTTAGGGAAAAGTATTGCCAATAAAATGGCAAGGGATCATTATATGGCAGAGATTCCATGAAATTCTATTTTCGACTTATGTAATTTATTTCCATTATTTTGTATTTGAGGATTTCCTATGTTAGCTCTTGTAAGGTGATGTGGTATTTGAGAACTATGTTATTAAATGAATTTCTGTTTTAGGAAATTGAAATTTTATGCTATTATCAAACGAATTTTTGTTCCAGAAACAGAAATTTTATGTCATTATCAAACGTATTTTTTTTGCTTAGAAACTCGTCCAGGAACAGAAATAGAAGCCAG